CCCCCCCCCCCCCCCCCCCCCGGGGGGGGGGGAGGCCCTCACAGGGCGAGAGCTGGCTCATCCAGCAGTCGGAAGAGAGCGCTCGTTCCAGAGGATGGCTGGGAGACCCCCAGGCAGTCATCAGAGTGAGGGGAGGGGGGTGGGGAGGGAAGGAGCGGGGGAGAGGAAGGAGAAAGATGGGAAGAGAGAGGAAGGGAAAGGTAAAGAACGATACAAAGAGACTCAAAGCTCAACTACTCTATGGAGCAGAAATGTCTGGCATCTTATCATATCAATGACATCACCATCACAAAAAACTTGAGAATGCACCACAACAATTTCTCTGTGAGCTTTTACATCGAGAAGCTTTCCAGGGGGCAGCGGGACATTTTTTAATGCCACCGTAGAAGCTAAACAATAGAACAATAACACCCTCTGAAAACCCTCTGTCCGCAGCTATAAATCTTAATCTAATCAATAATGCCTGAAATTGAGCTGCAGACCTCAAAAGTCACAGCCCGGCCACCCCCCAGCCTTCCCGCTCCCTGGGCTGGATAATGGCAAAGCAATTTCCATGTCATTTCACAGGGGAAAGGGACTCACCTCTTTCCAATATTAACGTGGAGAACGTGAATTTAAAGTAAATGCCGCCCTGGCCAAGAGAGCCAGGACGCCCGAGCTGCTCCTTCCCAGATTAAAGTTTGCAGGCAGCCTAGCATGCTGATGGCCTATCGGGTATCAAAGGCTTCCCAGATGGGTTTATTTCCTATTTCATGTTTGAACGTCTAGAAACGCCCGGGAGCAGAGCCCCTGGGGCTGCATGCGGGAGCCTGGCCCCTGCCTCTGTCCCTTGTCCCCAGCCATACCCTCTCTGAACGCAGCCGAAGGAACAAAGCAGCGGGTGGTGCCCCACGCACACCTGGCCTTCCCCTGTGCAGCCACCCGAGAATGCCACGGAGCTTTTCAGAGAGTCCATGAGACTGTGCCACATCCAGGGGTCCGGGCCCCGTTCCCGACTGAGAGGCGTGGAGCTGGCCTGCTGGGGTCAGCTCAAGGCCGCCGGGAAGACAGCCAGCCCTGTGTGCCTACATGTGCTGTGTGTGGGCCAGGCGGCCGGGCCAGCGATGCCACTGTGGTCACTGCAACGGCCGAGCAGGGTGGTTCAGGGGGCCGCCCCATGCCCGGCACACTCCAGCTGGAGCTCGGCGGGACGACAGGCTCCTTCCTTCTGCTTATTTAAAATACGACGCCTCCTCTTCCCTTAAAATTGCCGGCATCGTTTCTGGCACAGAAAACGGAAGCTCTCCCCTGCACTTTCGAGAAACGCTACTCAGAAACAGGGTCAGAAGCAGGCCGGCCCCTGGTGAGGCACTGGGTCGGCTGCTCTGGGGCACATTTGCTACGTTGCCTGGCAGGGATGCCACCAGGCGGGAGGTCTGGGGCAGCGCCACACTGCCAGCCCGCCCTGTGGACGTCAGTCGGGAGGGGGCGCTGCAGAGGTGGGACTGCCCACATGGCCTTCAGGTCTCCGCCCGCAGGAGATCTCACGCACTGTCATCCTCACGCACGGGGCGCCATGGGTCAGGAGCCCGGCTCCACGTGGGTCAGGGACGGGGTTCCACGCGGCCGCCCACAAGAGGGGGCTGATGGTGGCGCCTTGGGCGGAGAGGAAGCACCTGCGCCTCCCTGGGCGGGCCACTCACTTCCTCGTCCAAAACGGATTTCAGCCGTGTCGACCTTTCCAGGCCCCTACTCTGCACTGATTTTGGTCCAAGGATGTTTAAGGCAGGAGCCCAACTCAGCCCCGCTCTGTAGGATGAGCACCCGAGCTCTCTGTGGGTTTGCAGGATTTCCTGAGACGAGGCAGGGGCACCGCCAGCCCCCTCACTGCAGAGGGGACACGTATTGGCAGGTGGTGACCAGGCCCACCTCATCCCAGAGATCCCCGCGGAGCCGCAGGCAGGGGCGTGTGGGTGTATTTTTCTGGCTCTGGGGAGGAGTCTGGCTGACTCTGCCTTGCCAAGACTCCCTGTGACCATGAGCACGAGGGCTCAGCTGCGGCCCCAACTGTCACGTAAATGCATGGGATGGTCAAGTTCCAGCTGGCACTGAAAATCCGGACTTCGCCATGAAACTGGGCAGAGGAATGACCCGGCCAAGAGGTGCAGGAAATGTTCACTTTTGTAGACAACTAGGGCAAGAAAGGCAGTGATGGCCGGGGGAAGGGCTTTTTGGGGCACTGCCCTTTAAATATGCTTGGCAGCAAGCAAGCCCGCTGCCTTAGCCGGGAGGACGGGCCCTGTCGATCGCAAGGAGGACTAGAAATAACGTTCCAGACCAAAGACAGCCTGCACTGTCCTCTGAAAACCGGGACTCACAGCCATCTCAGCTGCAGCCCAGACCTGAGGCCAGACCTGGGGGTGGGGAGGTCACCTACCAGCCACGTAACAACCTCCTCAGGGGACAGAAACACAAGCCGCCCGTCCCGTCTTTGAGTCTGTAGACGGGCAGCAGAGGCGCCTGTGAACACCTCGGTGGGCTGATCATTCTCGGAGCTGCACTTCCTGACAGGCACGCAAGTGCTTTCTAAAACTGTGGACGCACATGTAGTGAGACCGCCGTCCCTCATGGACAGCGCCCACACGTGCGATCTAAACGTGACCACAGGAAGGAGCTCGGCCTCTTCTCATGGACATCCTCAACCATGAAAGGACGATCCCAGAAACAGTCAGATGGCAGCCACCCCCTTCCCTTCACAAAGGGCCACGGTGCCTCCCACCCCGCGTGAGACAGCGCAGAGCCCTAACAAGGAGCCCAAACAAACACACCTCTCCAGAATGTAAAGCCTAACACCATTCTCCAGGGACCACAGGGATCCTGCCTGCGTGGCGAAGCGTCCTTTAAAGGAGCGGGTCCTTGGGCACGCCACGCCCCGTGGGTGGCCCTGCCGCGCGGGAGAGGCTGAGGCCAGGGCAGCACAAGACGGAAGCGCTTCTGAGAGCCTTCTGCCCTGGAATAACTTGGACGGGACACACGTGGCCACGAACACTTCGGCGCGGAGGCCCGCACCGAGAGCCTGGGGGCCGCGGTGGGCCCGTACCTTTCCTGATGCCCGCATAGGTGCTGGCCAGGCCGCTCCTCTTCTTGCGGTGCCGGTAGAGCCAGACGCTGAAGACCATGAGGACCACCCAGCAGGCCGCCCCGATGCCCGCGATGAACGCCGGCTGCCGCACCACCTCCGAAATCTGCTGGGCAAGGCTGACCTGGTCCTCGGGGGACACGGGGTTTCCATGGGAATCTGAAAGGCCACCACGTCTCGTTCACGCGGGCTGAAACCGTGCGGTCACGCGCGCCCACTCTCGGGCCACTCCACGCCGCCGTGGCGTGGCCAGCATGAGGACGGTGGCTCAGTTTCTACCCCGCCCAGCCACTTTTGCCCTGTAAGACCGTGCCTGTGAGGGTCAGCAAAACACCAACATATATATTGATCTTACTTCCATTCAAAACATGATACCTGAAAGTAAAGGCAATGGCACGCTAACAGACAGCGCTAACAAGCCGAGATGGATAAAAATACACAACACGAAAAGGAAGTACTGAACGCATGTGCAACATGATATAACTGATATAAGGAGGAGAAATAAGAACGGGACAGAAAAGATGCACACTTTTCCAGACTTCTACGGGAACCCTAAAATGTATGCTCTAAAAAGGGGGAAAATGCCCCTTTATTTCCTCTAGAAGGCAGTTATTGAAGACTGTGTGTGTGTGGTATATGGTGTGTGTGTGTGTGTGTGTGTGTGTGTGTGTGTGTGTGTGTTGTATCCTTCCACAACCCAGACCATATGGCAAAAACCCTTAACTTAGAAACAGTCAACCTCTGTTCAGAAAGGCCTACAAAATTCAGAGACATTAAAACAATGAAAAATTAAGATAATATTACCATGGAAAGAACCATGAATAATCTTTCTTTTTGAATAATAACCACAACCAGCTATAGATAACATTAAATATGTAAAATATTTAGATAAATAGGTAAAAAATAACATTAAATATGTAAATGAATTACCATGTGTTAGGAATAGTCAAGAAGGCTGGTATTTTCTGCTACTTATTTTGACTCAAGAATTAATCCAAAACAGATGAAACTGGCTTCTTGACACGTGTGCTCTGAGCTCACCAAGATTCTTTCAAGCCACGCCCATCAAATCGCCTGGGCACCTGCAACGTCTCTGCAGGAACCTGGAGGCAGCGGGTCTCCTGTGCGAGCGGCAGCCCCCGTTCGTGGCAGGGAGCAGGGCCAACCCAGCCCCAGGCTGCCGGGGGCAAATGCCCCCCTGGCAGGCAATGCCAATGTTCTTTTCCCACAATACCTGGTCAGGCCATAGGTGTGTGCCCATTTCACCAGGAGTGGTGTTTCCTGGTCGGTGTCCAATCTCTGGACTCTGAAAATACACTTGAGGTGTGTTCTTACAATCCTGTGGCCTTGGCGTCGATGCAGAATGACTGATTTCTGCTCGCTGGTGTGTGTGTGTGTGTGTGTGTGTGTGTGTGTGTGTGTTTCTCTTCAGTCTGCTTTGTCTTGAACAGGACTCGGTGCTTCACTCCACAGGTCAGGGCGGAAGGGCCTCCCTTCTCAGGCGGCCCCTGCCTCACCTGTGCTGAGAGCAAGCTCTGCTGTGCGCTCCGACCCTCCTGTCTCAGGTTATCTTGGGAGTATGTCCTCTTCTGGAAGTTCACCAACAGAGCTAGTCTTTATTCTGGATACACCCTTTGCTCGTGCCACACTGCCCTAGAATCCAGCTGGTGAAGCCCTCTCTGGTGGGTTTGTTCTTAAACTCATCCAACCACTTTTGAAGCATAAATTGTATTTAACTTTCTACGTAGTTAGCGCACAAACACACTTCAATGCTCTTTGACATCTCATTCTATCTTTTGTTATAAAAAGCAACTGTTAGGCCGGGTGTGGTGGCTGAAGACTGTCATCCCAGCGCTTTGGGAGGCTGAGGCGAGAGGATGGCCTGAGCCCGCTGGTCTGAGACCAGGCTGGGTAACATGGTGAGACTTTGCCTCTACAATAAATAAAAATATTGGCCGGGCATGGTAGTGCACGCTTATAGTTCCAGCTACTTGGAAGGCTGAGGTGGAAGGATTATCAGAGCCCAGCGGGTCGACGCTAGGGTGGCTGTGAGCATGCCACTGCACTCCAGCCTGGACGACAGAGTGAGACTCCAACTCAAAAAAAAAAGCAATTATAATTTTGAACATGCACTAAATGTGAGTATAAATTGCTCACTGCTATAAATTTCCAACACCCAGTTTAAGTTTGCATGGAAATCTGTCTCTTTAATACAAACAGCTGCTGAGTCCTGTGAGGGCACAGACCGTCTCTCTTGTCCACTGAGGCATCCTGGTGTTCAGCTAAGAGCACGAGGGGGGACCCGCGGGACCCAGAATTATCTCTCGGAGGGTGGGCCCCTCGCAGTCCGGGCTTCCTCCGCGAGGTCAAGTCCAGGAACCCGGCAGCACCGGGGACCAGCCGGCGTTGCTGGGAGGGGCTGGGCTCGGCTCCCGTGAATGGCAGCTTGGAGATTCTTTCAGCGCCTCCGTGCACTTCGTGAGGGGAAACTGAGGAGCACAACTGCCCACGCTGTGCAGAGTGTTCGGCAGTTTTTGGCCCAAACTGGCATGACCCACCCACGCCCCACCCTCCCTATTCACTTGATCTCGCCCTGAGCGACGTTTTTCGTTTCCCTGATGAAAAAAATGTCTTGCCAATGTGGGAGAGGTGAAACAAAAACAGCAGAAGCACTAAAAAGCAACAAAATCGACGAGTTCCAAACTGTCTTGAGGAGTGCAGAAAGCGTCTCGACAGGTGTGTTGCTTCAAACAGAGAGGACTTTGAAGGTGGCTGAAGTTTAAGCATGCAAGAATAAATACACAGTTTTTAAATAAGTAAATTCTGGGGATTTTTTGGTTCCCTCCTTGCATTTGTTGAATACACGAAAAAAATTCCATAGGACAGGGTTAGGATGGCACTGAATATTAACAGTCTTGTGCAAGGAATATCATCTAAAACATGTGTTTGCATATGTTTAAGTTTAGTTGAGATATATCTACATCTAGTAGTGTATCTATCCGCCTGTCTCTCCACCTCCAAAGTCAGTCTGTCTATCATCCGTCTAGCTCTCGTCACGTATCTGTTATGGATCCATCTAGCTGGCTGTTATCTCTCACGTATGCATCTATTACCTAACGCGTATGCACCCATTAACTATCATAAATGGATCTAGATCTACCACGTATGTAACAATCACGTACATATTTATTATCACCTGTCACGTATGCATCTATCATCTACCTTTCCATGGATCCTCTGCCAATCGTCTCATCTGTCACCTGTTATCTGTTAGCTATCTAGCCATCATCCATCATCCATCATCCTCTACCTCCCCATCCATCATGCATCTGTCGATCGTCTATTATCTGCCAGCGATTAATCAAGTATCTACCCTCTATTATCCATCTGTCATCTACCTATCCATCCAGCATCCATCATCTATCCATCTATTCACCCACCCAACCATCCATCCATCTACCCATCAATTATCCACCCAAACACCACTTAGTTGTCGATCATCTATCTGTTTATGTATTTATCACCGATCTATCCATCCACCCCCTATCTATGCTATCGGCTATCATCCATCAATCTATCGTCTACCTATCATCTGTCTAACCATCCATCCTCTGTCACCTGTCTATCTGTTGTCCATCCACCCATCCATCCATCCTCTGTCTACTTCTCCAACTAGTTTTAAGTAAAGCCAGTGCCTTGCTGTGGCTCTAGCCGTGTTTCACCACTGTGTAGTGGTGGCCACGCCCTATGAACCGCCACCACACAGCCCGGGCGTGGTGACAGGTCTTCCCAAGGCCTGCAGGACACTTACCCAGCTGGATGAACTGAGGCTCACTCTTCACACCAGGGCCGGCCCCCGTGCTGGCCGCCACCTCGACCCGGTACCGGATCCCGGGCACCAGGGAGGGGATGACCACGGAGAAGGTGGACCCGTCGACGGTCTTGTTGATGTGGTACCGCGTCTCGTTGCCCAGACACCAGACCTGCCGGAGGGACACAGAGGCCATCAAGCAGGTCCGCTGCCTGCCTGGACACCAAGGTCGACAGGGGCTGCAGGCCAGACCAAACGGAGCTCAGACCTGCCACAAGCCTGAAGATGTGCCAGACCAGCCAAGGAGACGCTCGGCCAAACCTCTAGCAGTAGCCGCTGCCAGGCCTCATCACACCTTCTCACACACCTTTAGGAGACTTTACCAGGGAGGCCGGCACGTTTAGGCTCGAAGACACTGGTTCCTCTCCACCCACACCATTAGCGTTTTATTTGAGAGGGGGGAAAAAAGCCTTGCAGAAAGCCATGTCTGTCCAAATAGAGATCAACAAGGCTTCAACCCTCACGGGACACCTGCCTGCTGGGGGGTGACCAGATGCCGTCAAACAATGAGCAGAAACTGGTGGCCAGCACGTGACTCCAGGGCTCTCTGGGATGGAGCTGCCTGGGCCTGTCATGCCACCTTCTTACGAGAAACAGTCGATTTAAGAGACGGGAGGGTTTCAGAGCAATCTCAAGTCAGGGCGTCATTACGATTAGAAAGCCACTGCCAAGGAGTGAGGCACATCCTAGCGTCCACTCAGCCTAGGACACACCGAGCTGTTATCAGTGAGGGAAAGTCCAATACTCTCCTCGTCGTTTCACTGGAAATACTAACTAGTCTTTCATGACACACACGAGATCACCAAGAACAAAGCACATCTGATGTGCCACAAAAACACTCTTAGTAAGAAAGGTATTTTTAACTTTGATAATGATCTTTGGGATAGGGAATGATTTTTCAAGAGATGAAGACTTTCAGACCACACTGCAGTCCTTGCTTTAATTATAGATCTATTTATTCGTTTTTGAGACAGTGTCTTACTCTGTGGCCAAGGCTGGGGTGCAACGGTGCCGTAGTGTGATCAAGGCTCACTGCAGCCTCCACCTCCTGGACGCAAGTGATCTTCCCGCCTCAGCCGGGACTACGGGTGTGCACCATCATCCTGGCTAATCTTTCGATTTTTCTGTAGAGACGAGGTCTCACTCTGTTGCCTAGGCTGGTCTCTAACTCCCAGGCTCAAGGGATCCTCTTGCCTTGGACCCCCAAAGTGGAGGGATAACAGGCGTGAGCCACCACGCCCAGTCTGATAAGCACTGTTTAAATTTCACTGAAGGATGAACCTAGAGTGACCCTCTGCAGTGGTCAAAAGCTTGGCTATGGTGCGTAACCATATTCAAGCTCAGTTTCCCAAAGTGGTGATCCACGTTCTGGACCTCTACGACCCCTGGGCTGCTCTTGGGCTGAGCGCCGGGGGAGTACTCTCTCAAGTGTGATGGGAAAAGAGATTTAAGACGAGCCATGAGCCCGGTGTCCTCCCTCGGTCGAGCAGTGGCCCTTCATTTTTCCTTTGGAAGTGCACAGCCGTGTATCAGTGCTGGTTCACGTACGACAGCAACCAACGGTCAGGCCCAACACCAGGATCTGGCCGTGTGGAAATAAGGACTCCTTTGTGACTTCTGTCCCCCAACTGAGTCATGCAGCTGAACCAAAGCCGCAAACTGATTTTGCACCAGTCAATCAGGTTCTGAAAGGTATTTTATTATTTTAAATTGACCATGAAGTTAAGTGAAATCCACCCTTTCGCATTTCTTCAGGAGAGAAATGAGTTTTGACTCTTAGGGGAAAAGGCCCACGTTACACCATTTTGCTGAAGAGGCTGAGACATCGCCTCCCTTTAAATCCTCAAAATCCTCTCAGACAATTTTCCAGACTGATACATAGAATCCTGTTACTCCCAGTACTGAAATAACCTTGAAACTCACCAAAAAGCCCTGAAAAGCACAGAGACTCTTACCTTTTAACGATTCAATTACCCTAGCAAATCTCACCTGAAATACCTTAAACCATCCACCGTGTACTTATGGCAATACTTTAAATTCTTTTTTAAAAATGTACTGTCAATGTATACAGATTTCATAAAGAGGTTTTCTGTTTGTTTTTAAAAATCATCTCAAAATAAAATATTATACTTGAAACGAAACTTGGGACGCCTAGTTAGCATACAGCTTTACTTGCTACTCAAAATACTCATAGAGTCTTTATTCAAGCCCTAACTGAACAGATCAGAACTGCCTGGAGAGACTGACTGACAGACACACCGGGCCCGTCAGAGCAGCTGGGTCAGAATCCCCCAGGGTGGGCGGGACCCATGTGTGGAACCCACAAGCAACTGTGATGTTCACATGTGACTAAAAGCACCCATCTAAGAAGGCAGAGGCACCTGCCTCCCACCAGCAGCTTCATACCAACAGGGACAGTTTAGATACTCACGTACAGAAAATAGTCAAAGGAATCTCATAATTCAGCTACAAAAAGCACCGACATCACCGAAATATAAACCAGTGTCTAGAGAAGTAGGTTTGTCGGTAAAAATTCTGCTAGTATGCAGTATGCCTACGTACGTGTTTAAAATCCCTGTGAAACCTGCTTTGTGTTGAGGTTTTCCTGATCCAGTCTACCAATTATTCATTTATCATCATTCATTAAGATTACTCAGTGAACAGATTAACTAATAAGAGATGGTCCAATACACCCTTTTTTACTACATTTCATGTCTCTCGCCACGAGTCTCATTCCATTGCCCAGGCTGGCACACAGTGACAGGATCACGGCTCACCGCAGACTCGGCCTTCTGGCCTCAGGCAATCCTTCTGTCTCAGCCTCTCGAGTAGCTGGGAGTAAAGGTGCCACCCACCATGCCTGGCTAATTGTGTTATTTTTGGTAGAGATGAGGTCTCACCATGTTGCCCAGGTTGGTCTCAAACTCCTGGGGTCAAGCAATCCCTTGCCACAGTAGCAGGTCTATTAAATTAGTTTCTGACGCACCTTGGCATGCCTAAACATATTTGCTTAAAACGAATCCACGTGAGATTGCCTGCATTCACTGATCAGAGCTGACGGCTTTACAGATACAAATAATGATTCAGAATCATCAGATTAAGTCACTTGACAATGCATTAGCTATTTTAAAAATTTGCGCAAGTTGGGCGTGGTGGCTCTCACCTCTAATCCCAGCCTTTAGGAGGCGGAAGTGAGAGAACTGTTGAGCTCAGGAGTTCGAGACCAGCCTGAGCAACATGGTGCGATCTTGTCTCTACAATAAGTAAAAAAATTAGCCAGGCGTGGCGTCATGCGTCTGTGGTTCCAGCTCCTTGGAAGGCTGAGGTGGAAGGACCGCCGGAGCCCAGCAGGTCGAGGCTGTGGTGGCCACGAGCGTGCGGCTGCACTCCAGCTTGGGCGACAGAGTGAGACTCTGACTCAAAAAAAAAAAAGGAAGGAGAAAAGGGAAAAACCTGAGTTTCCTCTGAGATGTGGAATTTTGTTGAGAGGCTAAAACAAGGCTTACAGAAAAAACTGGTTCTTTATACTCATGAAGCTTATACTTTCCAACTCAGGTCTGACGGAAAAAGCAAGCAACCTGCACGGGAGAGCACCGACCCAGGGCCGGTCCCCAGGGCAACCCAACGCGCAAACACAGGAAGGCTGTTTTCCGGGGCAACGCGGCTTTTTGTCACCGCGTAAGCTGTTGCTTGTGCACAGTCAGGGAGAGCTATACACGCTGCGGCCCCCAGATCCTCCACACCCGCCTCTTCCCAACGTCTCTGCGGCGAGCGCGCGCTCCGGTCACCGGAGGCCCAGGGGCTGAAGACGACCCGCAGGCCGCCGCGGCCACCGGCAGAGGGAGCCCGACGCCCGCTCGCCGCCCGAGCTGGTCCCAGGCCGGCGCGCCCCCGTCTCCGCCCGCTCCGCCGTACCCTGTA